TGGATCCGGATAAGCATACGCTGGTGCGACGAGGAACGATGCACAGCGGTTTACTGGCTATCGACACAAGCGGTTTGTGGTGGTATAAACAGTTGCCTTTCTTCAGAAACTATACTCCTTTAAATGCTCCGTGGCATGAACTACCGCAAGCATCTCCTACTCAATCTGTGCATAGCGCTGCTCGGTCTCGGTGAGTACTCGGCTGCGAAATCCCATCCACTTGCTCTTACATAGGCGTCAATTACCAAGTTCCGCTCATCCATGTTTAATGAAGCAGGCATCTGAATTGGTGTTGGTGATCCAAACAGCATCCCAGCGCCGCCGGTGGGATTCGACGTCGCCTACTCTGACACCTTGTTGCAGAAGGCAGTCCTTCAGGGACAAGCAATTATTCGGCAAATAAAACTCGGCGAAAATTACAACATGTTTGAAAAGCCAAACTCACGCGTTCACGACTATAACTTACGACCCTTCTGAGGCAATGAGGTGCATCCTTTGATTCAGTTAAACAAGCGATGGTTAACTCACATGAATGTCAGCCAACCCCTGTCCAGCCATCAACTCAGCTACACCCACCGCCCATTGGCTATCTGGCTCGCTCGCTTGACCCCTTCGTTCACTCTGTTATAACACTCCTGTCACAAGAAACACGCCTCTGTTGATGTGCAGCAATACAGAAAGGCAAAATACGGAAAATTGCATCATAAAATTAAGAAAGCAAGCGAGGTAATGTTATACCGCAAGGTATTCATTTGCTATGAGATCGTGCTTGGGCAGGGGAATCGGAAGTGGGAATTTACAGAGAAACTCAAAGCACAACGGCCACTGGGGCCGGCTATTTACCATGTCAGCAAGTGTGTCCAATCAAACGTGTTCATCGTCTTTCGGACTCCAGCCCGGCAGTCGGGATGCACCAACCGACGCTGAACGCGTTCATCGCTCACGCGGTGCTCCCACCAGGCATGAGGTTAGCTGTGAAGGCAGCGACGGTCGAACGTAGCTAGCCTCTTTATGTTTGTCGACTTGATGGATCAGGTTTCACAACCTTACAGGAAAGTTGAACGGACGGCTGCATTATAAACTTTACCCTGAAGGACTAGCGTGACTTTGCGTCGGCACCACAAATGGCAGAGATTGGTCAAAGTACCTCGAGCTCTCGCTATACGGTTCGTGACCTCAGCTTCAATCCCACGGGCCCCAACATAGCTGCGCAGATAGTTGAATTCCTGAATGACTTCTAGTTGATCATCACTAAGGGTCAGCGCATGTGTAGGTCCTTTCCAACCTTGGAGAAGTACTTTGCATTTTGCTGGAACAAAGTATAGCTCAAAACCATTGTCAGCCAGTGCTAATCAGTCTGGTGCTGCTTGGCACGTTTGGGCGCTGTCACACTAGTAGGCAATGTTGTTTAGCATGCTCCAAGTCAGGAAGACGCTCACCAGGAATTATCTCCATGCGTTGTAAGTCGTGTCCTGCGAAAGCTGTTTCCATGACTTCATCAATAGTGAGGTTAAAAAGGAAAGATGACAGCGGACAACATCGTCTCACACCGCTAGTGAGACTGAAGGGTGGCGACATTTTGCCACAAACCATCACTCTGCCTGAACTATGCGTTTACAGCGCTGTGATAATATCTATCTATTTTCGAGCACATTTTCTCAGCAGACAGTCCCAAGGGTCACATTGATGAAGGGAATCGGAGGCACATTTAATGTTGAGAAATATGAGTACGGTGGGTCACCAATAAATATGGCGATGACTTATCAATTGACACAAAGTAAAGCAGTGGTCGATGCAGTCTTGATTTCGATGAAACCCGGCTTGCTCCTCGCGAATCTGACTATTACGTGTATCAGTCAACCTGTAGGAAATGACAAACACGAACAATTTGGTGGCCATTAAGATCGGAATGATCCCTTTATGACTCCTGCATTCCGAACTGCAGCCTTGCTTGAAAATTAGGACAATAACGGAGCGGGTGCAGTCAGTTGGGACAGTTTCCTGCTCCTCAATTTTCACTAGTAACTCGCGTAGCTCATCTATAAGAGCAGGCCTGCCGAATTTGAAGAGAGTTGGAGGAATTCCATCTACTCCTGCGGCCTTATTCAATTTCAAAATACTGCTCGCACGTTTGATATCTGTGCATGATGACAGATCCACCGGGATGGTCCACTGAGTAGGCGATCAATAACCGGCGGAGAAACCGACAAAGCTGACAGATTGAATTGCTTCCAAAAGTGTTCGGTCCAACGCTTCAAGCGTTTTGACAAGCTGTGGATCGGTTATCTTCCCTCGTCGCGTATGGTCTCGCTAACACCAGGTCCCCTGCTGCTCGTTTCCCGTATCAAACGGAATAGCAGTGGCGGTTTCCATTTCCGATGCACGATGAGACTACCAGACTTCGCAGTTTGTCTTCAGGCTAGCACGAAGTTGTGCCTTGGGATTTCTGCAAGTCTCACGATGTCCGCTTCCAGTTGGAATACTTCGGCGAGCATCCAAAACTTCCAGAGACTTTGTTGCGATCCAATGTCTAGGTTGGCAGTTGAGTTGCCACATGAAAACGTGCCTGTTGATTGTAACCTCAGGCGAATATACGCCCAGTGATGTTCGAGGTTCAGCGGGCGCTTACTCAGCCCGGATGCCAGCTTGCTTTGATACGCATTCAGAACACTTGGCTTCACCAGTTGGTTGGCGTCTGTGTGCTCAGAGCGACGTTGCGGACGTCCGCCGAGACGTAGCCGTGAGTCGGCGCACACAATGGCGTGATCGGAGTCTACACTCTTGCTCTAAATCGAGTGGCAGTCTTGGACACAGCCTCTCCAGCGGTAACTAATCGCGATGCGATCGATTTGCGTCCATGTCTGGTCGGAGGCTGGTGGGCGCCACATCACACTTCTGCGAGTGCTGAGTCGAAAGTTAGTGCTCACGAGAAGGAGACGAGCATCTTCACACAGATGTAGCAACCGCTAACCGTTATCACTACGTGAGCCTACACCATGTTGGCCGCCCAGATGCTGCTCATCAGTGGACAATTTTCCGACTTGGACATTCAGATCACCAGCAAACAACGCGATATCCGTACCTTTGCTGTAACGGAGCACCCCGTTCAGTTGGTGGTAGAATTCATCTTTCACCGAATCAGGACTGCAGTTTGTGGGCGCGTAGGCCGCAATGACAAACAAGCACCATTTGTCCTCGCGCGACTTTGTAGCCTGGAACAAGCCAGCCAATCTAACAGTGCCCATCTGGTTGTTGACTGGATTTCAATCGACCAAAGCAGCTTCAGTCTGGGGACTCAAAACAATACCCACGTCGGCTTGACCAGCACTTGAAGCTGCGTCATCGCCGGAAAGGCTCGGTGAGAATGTTCCACCAGTGTCGCATGTGAGGGATCGAAGCTTAAACACGGAGCTCGAAGCTTGCAGGCGGGTTTCCCAAAAGCAGCAAACATCGATCGATAGGGTCCGGAGTGTTCGGGCGACTGCTACTTGTTGCCGCAGTTGCAACCAAATGAACGCGTTGATGCATGGCAGTGAGGATCAAGGACTCCAAAGGGACACGAATGGACTAATGTTGGCCGCTTGGTTGAACATGGACTTGTCGACTGGACTGGAGCGGCGCCCTGTGATTGCGGGTGCGTTGAAACTAGAAGACAAGCGACTATAGAAGCAAGGCGGAGTAAGGCTAAGAATTGGAGGTTGAAAACCGAGGAAACAACAGTGTTGGAAAGGGACGCTAAGGATGTAAAAGCGCGATAAGGGGAATAAGAAAGCGGGAAGGCTTGAGCAGTAGCATCCAAACCCCTATCCACCCTGTTCGATGCAGCAGATAGGGCGCTGGCTGGGGCGACGGCTGGAGCATCAAAAAATCGTGTGAAGAGAAGTTCATGAAGCTTTTCCTCAAGTTGAGTTTTTAAAATGCATTTCACTCTGTTGGTTGATAGCTCTTAATCATTTGCTTGAGCATGCCAAAATGATCATTATACCTATCTATTTTGACAGCTTTTTCTATATGAAGTCAAACCCAATAACGCAGAATTATTTTTTGGGTTAGTCCTGAACTCATAACGGGTATTTTCCCGAAAGTGCAGCGTAGGAGTTCCAACGTATGCTTTCCGTCATGCAAATTTTTGGAAGAAGTAATCTACGTAAATACAGAGGTTCAAGTTTCAACTAATTACACTTGTCTTTCTGTGGAAAAACAGTTGAATAATCGAATATACGCTTTGTAAAGGCACGTTGAATGTTTTCAACGGCTCTCAAATCATGCTTTTACTGGTTGCTGAATGTAACACCGCTATATTCAAGCAGTGGTGTCATACTTATTCTGAAAGTAATTAGTCTGGTTACTTTCAGCATTAGCAAATGGTACTTGAGTCAAACCGATTACTTAGCCATTTTCCCGATATAATTTGTATGTTCACTAGCGTTTAATGTGGTAGAGTATCTCAAACATAATTCGCGAACAGACTGGCTGATGTGAGTGAGTTTGTCATGAAAGTTGAACATTTTTGCTTTTACTGACATTCATACGCCAGAATACCAACCGTCGATGTTGCAAATGTCATCTGATACGTGTCAGCCCATCTCTAAAGGACCTTTAAATGGCTTTGAATGTTGTCAAGTTCAGCGGTATGCTGAAGGCTTTGGAACGTGTAAAGTACCTTTAGAATATCAGTAAACCATTAGGGATTGTCAAAATTATATAACAGGGACAAGGTAGTTTATGTACATTGGGAAGAGTAACGGACCTAACACAATACTATGCACCACCTCACTGGTGACCATAGATGATGAAGGGATGTTTCCATTTATATCCACAACTTGCAGTCGTCCTGCTATGTACATTAGTACTTTAAACAGGAGCCTCTTGTGGGGAACTCTGTCAAACTCTTTTGTATGTCAAGCAAGCTGACGATGCATAAACCCCCAGTCGGTTTCAAGCACACTCCGAGATATTAAAAATATTTGCATATGTTCTGTCTGCATGTCACACTGCAGGGGGTCGCTACGTGCCTCGTTGTGTATTGACTGATCTGGAACCCGGGTGCTTGGACAACATACGTGGAGGACCATACGGGGTTCTCTTCAGACCTGATAACTTCGTCTACGGTCCCTGCGGAGCCGGAAACAACTGGGCAAAAGGACATTACACAGAAGGGTCAGAGATAATTGAACCCATAATGGAGCTGATTCGCAAGGAATGTGATCTCTGTGAATGCATTCAAGGGTTCCAGTTTGTGCATTCGATGGGTGGTGGAACTGGAGCAGGGCTTGGTACTCTGCTAATGGGAAAAATTCGCGAAGAGTATCCGGATCGAATTACATGCTCCTTCTCGGCGTATCCATCTCCAAAAGTGAGTTAAATTGTAGAGTATGCCTGACGTTGAGCACTTAGATATGTGAAAAGCAATGCTTGAGGTACGTTTTGCGTTATTTTCCAGAGCCAGCGGTAAAATCTTCGGAGTTACTTCCCAGATCGTTTTGCATGACTCTCGTGTCGCGGGCAATATACGGACAGAAACCCACAATAAAGCGTGTAATAAAAAGAGCATTTAGTGAATTCCGACAAAAGTTCTTTACAGCTAGTATTGGCTGTGTGGTCAATTGCTGTTTGGAGACCAAACCAACATATGTAGAAAGGACAATTTAACGTTGCAAGTCAGTGCAACTGTCGTGGGGAGTTGACAATATTTGACAATATTTGCTGTAAGTAAACTGTCTTGAAGACCCTAGTAGCTGCATTTTCGAGGTTCGGGAAGTACTGTAAGACTGACAACTGCAACGGAATGCACAGAAAGTCGATCGCCTAGCCTTACCCCACACCACCACGATAGTAAAATTTTAGACAGCAAACCGAAAGTGGTTCTGAAAATGGTATCTTAAAAAGTGTGCTATTGTATTTAAGAACTGGTGCTTTGACTAAGGTGGTCGAAGGGCTCGCGACCAATTCATATGGTTCTACTACCTCATCGGTTGACGACAATGCATGTGAACCGATCTGCATGGGCGTCCAAGAATGGCGTTCAAGAATGGTAGATAACTAAGTTGAAATGGAAAGGGGCGCTAGGACAGGCTTGCCATCAAAACTGAATATTGTACCCCAGACTCTTTTGGATTCTGAGAACAAATCTTTCGTCCCAGTTGGCGTAGTGCTGAGGACTAGAGAACGATACGGTTTATTGAAGAAAGGGGTCAGAAAAATATGAAAACTACTGGTTTGTGGTGCAGCAGAGCGTGCCTTAGTATGTGTGGCCGCATATGCCTCTATCGAGGATAGCGTGTCCAACGAGCAAAAGTCCTTTATCCGTAGGCTGATGGCTTTATGTCTATTCGTAGACCATTGCATATATATATATATATATATATATATATATATATATAAAAGCTGTTTGGACACTGATTCCCTGTTGTCTATGTCGATAAACAGGCTTGCCTTGAAGAACGTCACCTAGAACAAATGGTTGTGAAGCTTCATGGTCTTCCTTGCTATTAAATGCCCGCCATATTTTAACATCATCGGCAAAAGGCAAGAAATTGGAGGAGCTAACGCTTTCTAGGTCATTGCTAAACACCAAGAAGAAGCACAGTTCTAGCACCGAGCCACGTGGAACACCGCATTTGTTGGTTCGAATATTTAACGTGTAAACCCAGGAGTCAGTAAAATGGATGAAGATATCTGATAGGGACAGGCTGAGAGTTCGAAAATCGGGGCATATTTTAGTCGGAGGAAATTGGCTGCTTCCTCAGCGTTTTGTTCCCTACCATCTGTTGACATGGCTGTACAGAAGCTTGTTGTTTTTGTCGCTTTTTGGCTACGTGGAGCTGTGCGCGGCTCTGTGTGCGACCATTGGAATAGTAGCCGAAACAGCTACTCCTTTGGCTACCGGGGCACGACGGGCAACGCTTGGCATAACGGTTAATGACTGATTGGAGAGTCATTTTGGAAAACACATGAGGTGATTGAATTGAGGCGCACAATCTCTATGTAGACCGCGATTCACAGTTAAGTGAAGCTTGGTCATTCTGATCTTTGGGACCGTTGCCGAAGCAGGTGGAAATTGGATGTTGTCCACTCGACCAGTCGATTTCTCGAACCGGATCGGACAGCATGCAGTCTTGGGTAACGACGTAGGTTTCGCCGTGGTTCTCACTGATGTATTCCGCGTAGCACATGTAACGTAAGAGCAGCATCGCGTGATCGCTATCACTAAGTGGTGCATCTATGGTTACAACATCCATCACTAATTCCTAACTGGTGAGTGCGAAATTCATAACAAACTTTTCACCCGTTCTGGATGACATAGGAAAGGTGACGTTGTTGTAGAGGGTACCTCGGCAATTACTTCTTGTAAGTCAGCTTTTAATTGTCCGCTGAGCGAAGCCAGGGCTTCTACAGTGTGCAGGTTGGAGTCTCCCTCCAGAAGGAAGTGATTGTGTGACTGCTTTAGGACAAGGTATATCGCAGAATCTACGCGGTAATCCATTTACAGCGTGGACATCGGGGGGCGGTAAACCATTGCTAGTCAACACATCCTCACGTCTAAGCTGCAGACGGCGACAGTGCTAGCACAGCATCGGTAATCTCCGTGTTACGCCATATTTCGATGACCATTACTATGTCCAAAGGTGTGGACGCCTGACAAATACGAAGTATGGTTAGATTGGTGAGCAGACCTTGAGCGCTTTTGCACAAGCAGCTGAGGGTTGTCGTGGTTAGAAGTGTGTTTGTGGGGTTAGCTGCCGGTTGTTTTCTGTAGGACTGTTGACACATTCTCTAGGACTATTCTAGGGTGGTGTGCAGAGTACACATCTTTAACAAGTGCATTCTCAACTTGACCTCCATCAGCTGCTGGGGTGTTTTGCCTACGTCGAGGTTTTGAGCTGCGTGGTTACGGGGCTACATAGGTGAACCGCATGTTCAGTGCTACCTTTTACCTTTGTGGCCGGGTTTCTATCACCGGCATACGTATTTCGGCTAACAGTACTGTACTCGTTTTGTGCCATATTTCGACCATGTTTTCCGACATCGGATTGCATTGCAAGGTTACTTTCATCACTTTAGGACCACTGCATCTGTAGATGGGTGAGAACAGTAACCTTGATGAAGAACTAACCATGACGTTTTCCAGTGAGGCTACTTGAGGCATGAAGTACAATTCGTTCAAATTATGTACTTTGGCCTCTAGCTCACCTGATGTCTGAAGCCCGGAGACACTGTACAGTAGGAACGATTGTAGATCTTTTTGTTTAGGGAAGTCATCCGAATTTTGTCTGCGTTTCTGACGTTCGCTCCAAATAATGTCTAAGAAAAATTCGTACTATGCATCTGGTGGTGCAGAGACGAGGGGCTGGCAAGTGAACTATCTCTGTATCATCTCGTGATCGCAGCAGTACCTGGAGTAACCGCCGTTCAACGTAGTGTACTGAGTTTGGATGACTGACGAAGGGCAACCTAGTGATCAGCTTAGCTTGTACTTCTGTTGGAGGACCCAGTGTCTAGCAGCGTGCTTTTAATAAATTTTGCAACGGACTCGGCACCTTTCTGCATACAACAGTTAGATAATTCTAATGTTGTCCGGTGTTCTCCATTTTGGAGGGATGTGTGGCTGTTACCTTATGTAGGACAACGGATAGTGTTCTCTATCACGCAGTATTATTTTCAGCACTCAGTGTAGCTGGTTCGGTGACTATCGAGAATACGGTGGACGCAGTTGCTGTCGTATGGGTTGCGACAGCGGACGCGAATGCTGTCGGCTTTTCAATAGTATTGGACGCATCCCATGGATCGAATGAAAATTTTGCTGCGAACGCATTATCAGAAACTCCCCTCCCGTCAGGGTGCACAACTCTGGATGGTTGCCCTTACATTCGGCCGGCCTGTTCTGTTCTGAAATGCAGTCTGATGTTGAACATCAAGTTCGGGGCAATGATGCATCCTTTTTCAATAAGAAAATGCTTACGGTGGCAGCTTTTTCTACAATCGGCGCCAGTCTGTCGCACTTCTGCGGCAGCACCGCTGTACATCTGACGAGTAGACTAGCCTTACCCACTGTGCAGAGCCTACGGAAATTGTCTTATTATTACGCTTCTTTACCTCGCTTAGGTTAGGCGAGCTCATTTGAGATAGAATTTAACGCAACAGCTCGAGAATTTTATTTCAATTTATGCAAATTGAAAACAGTTTGCGGCATCACACACGTTTAATTGCGATGCATTAGGCTTAGATTTCCATGGGCCAGCTGTGCGTGTCATTGTGAAGTCTAATCCCGTAAATCTCGTTTGTTGCTGGGCCTATTCAAGCGTCTGCTTTCATTGGATCATTGGAATGCAGAGAGCAGAAGGAAAATTCCTTTGTCAGCTCCATCGCCTCCCATTCGTCACAGAGATCAAGGTACGCATTACAAGTCGGTGGCAATAGAACCGCTACGTTGACACAAGAAGCAACTAGTTGCGTGTTTACTCAACGGGTATGAGTCCAATCGATGTTTGAAACATTCCTCCGACTGCTCATCAACGACATATAAAGGTAGATTGTTCCACTCGTTCACTACTCTGGTAGGCAGAGTAACTTCACAACGGACCCGAAGTCTACTTTGTCTAAACAAGTTTCAATGGTGACCCCGAGTTGAACTGAAGGAATTAAGTGAAAAGAAATCCTGCAGTTCAGCTCCAATTTCACCTCTAACGATGCGTCGTGTAAAAATCAGACCTCCGCGATCTGGACGATAAGCTAGGGAGAACAAGTTCATGCGCTGAAGACTATGTGAGTAAGACAGGTTTCGTAACTTCCGAATGGATTTAGATCCTCTCCGCTGAACTGTTTCAATCAAGTTGCATTCAAATTTGGAAAGGGGATAGACAGCGAGCAGCCCATACCCAATAATCGGATGTACATGAGAAGTGAACACGAGCCTGAAGATCTCCGGAGTCAAGCGGGAGAAGGATCTTCGTATGGTGCAAAACAACCTGCTGGCAGAAGCGACTTTCCTCAAGGTATCGTCGGACGATTTTAGGTCTGGGGTCACAACGACGCCAAGGCCCCCTCTCACGAGTAGAGTTTAGAAGCAAAAACCCACCGATATGATAAATTCCAAATGGTTCGGAGGCACCGATCGGGAGAATGGAACCTTTATCGTGATTTATGGGTAATTAGCACCTGATCGACTAGTCACGCAGCGAATCGAGCCTTGTTTGTAGTACATTGGCTTCATGCACACAGGAGACTGCGGTCCATAGCTTTAAATCATCTGCGTAAATCAAACAATCTGCCTGTTGTACAGACGCCAGGTTATAAATAAAGACTTAAAAAGTTCAGGGCCAAGAACGGAGGCTTACGGAATACCGCTGCCCATAT